GGAATTGGAATGATCAAGGCTGACCTGATCAATAACTTTGGTACTATCATCAAGTTTGGGACCAAAGCATTCATGGAGGCTTTGCAGGCTGGCGCAGACATCTCCAGGATTGGCCAGTTTGGTGTCAGTTTTTATTCTGCATATTTGGTTGCCGAGAAAATGACTGTGATCACCAAATACAAAGATGATGAGCAATATCCCTGGGATTCCCATCAGAGGCTCCTTCACTCTCAGGGCTGAGACAGGGGAACCAATGGGTCATGGGACAAAGGTTACCCCGCAACTGAAAGAAGACCAAACTCAGTACTTGGAGGAGAGAAGAATAAGGGAGATTGTGAAAAAGCAGTCCCAGCTTATTGGCTATCCCAATTACTCTCTTTGTGGAGAAGGAACGTGATRAAGAAGTCAGTGATGATGAGGCTGAAGAAAAGAAGATACAGAGGAGGAAAAGAAAAATAAGAAATGGAGCCTGATGACAAACCTAAAGATGAAGATGTTGGTTCTGATGAAGAAGAAGAATAGAAGGATGGTGACAAGAAGAAGAAGAAGAAAATTAAGGAGAAGTACATCGATCATGAAGAACTCAACAAAACAAAGCCTGTTTGGACAGAAATCCTGACAATATCACTAATGAAGAGTAAGAAAGTTTGACCAATTGGGGAGATCACTTGGCAGTGAGCATTTTTCCATTGAAGGACAGTTGGAATTCAGAGCTCTTCTTTTTGTCCCTAGTTGTGCTCCTTTTGACCTCTTTGAAAACAGAAAGAAAAAGAACAACTGGAAGGCGAGTGACTCACCTGAGACAGAGATTCAAACAAGAGATTATATTGGGGGGCTGCCCGAAAGGGAAGAAAAGGAGAGGCAGAGAGCAGAGAGAGGAGAGGAGGTGAGCAGACAGAAAGCAGAGAGGAGAGAAAGAAGAGGAAGAGGGCAGAGAGCGTGAACTTGCAAGCTTCAGTTTAAGAAGGGTTGCATAGGTGATGTAGCAGGTGCTGATTGGTAGGGAGACTCAGGAACAGCCAGCGGACACTGTGTCCTATGGGGATTGGTCAAGAAAACTTTTGAATTTGGCGCTCTTGGGCTTGGTGCCCTTCAGAGAGGAGGGGTAGGGGTAGGGAATTCCCTGATGTTCTCATGAGACGGAAACTTAACCTCAGTGGGGAGTCTCTCACACACCCAACAACAACATTAAGTTGTGTGTATGCAGGGTTTTCATCATGGATAACTGTGAGACGCTAATCCCTGAATATCTGAACTTCATTAAAGGAGTGGTGGACTCTGAGGATCTTCCTCTAAACATTTCCCGTGAAATGTTGCAACAGAGCAAAATTTTGAAAGTCATTAGAAAGAATTTGGTCAAAAAATGCTTAGAACTCTTCACTGAACTGGCAGAAGATAAAGAGAACTACAAAAAATCCTATGATCTGGCTGGGGTTGTGGCTTAGTGGTAGACTGCTTGCTTAACACATTTGAGGCATTGGGTCCCCAGCACCACATTAAAAAAAAAAGAAAGAAAGAAAAGCTAAATAAACAAAATAAAGGTATTGTGTCCATCTACAACTAAAAATATTTTTAAAAATTCTGTGAGCAGTTTTCTAAAAATGTAAAGCTTGGAATACATGAAGACTCTCAAAATTGATAGAAGTATTCAGAGCTATTATGATACTACACATCTGCTTCTGGGGATGAGATRGTTTCTCTCAAGGACTATTGCACCAGAATGAAGGAAAACCAGAAACACATCTACTATATCACAGGTGAGACAAGGGACTAGGTAGCTAACTCTATCTTTGTGGAGCATTTTCGGAAACATAGTTTGGAAGTGATATATATGATCAAGCCCATCTATGTGTACTGTGTTCAACAGCTGAACGAATTTAAGGGGAAGATTTTAGTGTCCATCACAAAAGAGGACGTGGAGCTTCCAGAGGATGAAAAAGAGAAGAAGAAACAGGAAGAGAAAAAGACAAAGTTTGAAAACCTCTGCAAGATCATGAAGGACATCTTGGAGAAAAAGGTTGAAAAAGTGGTGTGTCACAAAATTACAACTATCTTATATTTGATAAAGGGGCTAAAAGCATGCAATGGAGGAAGGATAGCATCTTCAACAAATGGTGCTGGGAAAACTGGAAATCCATATGCAAAAAAAGGAAACTGAATCCCTTTCTCTCGCCATG